AACAATATGATATGCGGATCGTGGCAATACTCTATCCCCAGCTATGTGGCTTGATCCAGGCTCCTAGCAAGGCGGATAGTGAAAAGACGAGAAACCTCGGACAAAATCTTTGATGACCCAACAACAGGCGATCAACAGACGATCATGGGAAAAATGACAATGCATATATATTCATAGTTTGACTTGAAGATGCCGGAAGTTCGCTAGCAGTCCCCAAGCGACTTCATATTTTCGCAGAGTACACTGAGTACCATAAATCCGTTAAAGCACAAAGAACAGCATCGGGCCTCAAGGAACACGTTATTACAGAGCGCTCAGTGAACGTTAGGAGGGTGGTGTTCTCGGACTACGAAATGATAAACTCATGTTAGCTACGGCGACCGGCACGCAATGCCAGGCATACAAACCAAAGCCTTGATACTTGCCTGGAGTTGCAGATCGATGAAACTTGATCTTCAGTTCACCTTAAACCGTTCATCGTGCGCTACCCAGATTTGTTCTCTCAAAGCGCTGAGCTCAGCACCACCAGCAGAAGTGGCAGATATGTCAGACACGCAACCATGCATGCAAGTAGCCGCGAGGATGAGTATAATTCACAGCGACTAAGCGGGGCGAGGGGAAAATGACTGAATCTTCCTATAATGATGCGCTGACAAGCATATCATGGTTGTTAGCAATGTTCGTAGCTTGGATGATGGTGCTGGCAGGTCTGTCTAGTCCAGCTTGGCGCGTTCTTGGCACGTTCCTTGAAGTATCGCTAGACTGGGCCAACACATCAACCACCACTTCACGGTGGAAGTGATAAATAAGCCAAACACGTAGCGACCATTCAGCTATAAAAATTCCACGCAATGAACCCATTGCCACAAAACACCTGAACCAAGCTATTGCAGCTCTATTCTAAGGACACCAATCTGAACAGTCGAATAAAGACGCCGGTGACCACCGACACACAGAGATCAACAATGCAAAGAGCCGATGTGTGGAAGCGACTGCATTTACTTATTTATAAGGCAGCCTTTTGGTAATGAACACATCCGTACCAGTGTGTAAACTGTACTATTATGTATTGTGATCAACCGCAAGAGAGGATCACTGGCCTTCCAAAATGACATGCTTCCTAGATCTTGCGCCCGTAGACTGTCTGAATAACAATCCGACCACTCGAATCTTAGCATTCGTGTACTCACTGTTCACCTTGGGGAGTTCAAATCCATGTACTTGGATCACCCCGCTAGCGACGTATTAGATAGCCAAGTCAGCTTCTACAAGCCCTTGGAACTTCGGTTCATACAGCTAATTTACTAAAATAAACCCAGGGATGGGACGTTAAATAAGGACGGTGCATGTCGGTCACACCACCATGGGCTAAACGGTGCAGTGACCAACAAGCAGTGGTATAGAAACGGTGACACCCAATTCAGCGTATCGCTGTTCACTGTCGGTCGGTTTTCGAAGCGACTTGAAACTATTTGTGGACAATCAATATGAAAACATGGTATTATCCGAATTGTACGTGGCCCATCAGAGATATTACCGGTGCCGTGCCTCTACCCAATAATTTCTGTCTCGTTAGAAGTGATTTCCTCTGCGGCAAGAAAAAAACATGAGCAAGTAATCCAGGATCCTGAGGAATCACCATCATCCTGAGCATCAAGTCTACCGATATTCCCATGCCCAGGTCCAATTCTACCCACCCAAAAAATGAACGCCCGAAGCTTTCCGTAGAGAGTAACCGATAATCACCTGCCCGATGACTTACCAAAAGGAGCAGTGTTCCATTTCATTTCAGCTTTAAGAAAAGAGAATCGAGGTGGCCACCGGTCTGTTAGTGTTTTTTGCCCATCGATTTCAGTTCTTCCTAGCAAATTTGACGGTTTCCACGTTGATGACATGGAAACTCTGCTCACTAACAGTGGTCGATAACCTGTACCAAACAGCCTTGTAGGACAGCCTTCACGCCTGATAGTCATTTGACGCACTTCTAAAAGGAACGATATTTCGCTCCGATATCCTGAACAACGATTTCTGAAATGAGAGCCTTCCCTCATGTTGAAGACAGCGTTTGACGAGGTATTTCAACGTGATAGTTCCCAGATAAATCATCACTATTTGCGCTTCAACAACCTCAGCGAGCCATCTGACCACCACGTGAGTGCAGTGTAACAGGTGTTACAACTTATATTTAGTTTCCAATTCGCTCAGACAAACGTTTATTGCTAGTTGTTACACGCCCTAGAAAATCCGGGCGTTTGAGAAACACAGACTAGTTTCAAAGGGCGGAAGGCAATGACGCACACCTGCACCCACATGACTACCTTTTCTTTTTCCAACGTGTAGTATGCAGTGACTGATTTACTTCCACAAAGAAAACTCCGTATAGATTGACGGGACGGTTAGCGGAGCATATCCAACAACAACTTTATTTGAAATTCACTACTTTTATGGTTGACCATAGTCACCATTATATCCAATTCGGTCGATCAGTAAGAGGAAAGTTATGGTGTCAAAGAATAGAAGTTGTAGACGGGGTTCAAAAGTAGGGTGACGTTGCAGATGAAATGAAAACTGGAAGACGCAACGCTTTCCTCTTGGTTTAGATCACAAATTGAAAGTAACGACTTGGATCCTGTGGCGCCATTTCTGCGTGTGAGGTGCATTCAAATGCTCAAGGTCTGTCCACCTGGAATCCGCAGTTTTCCAGGTCATTTATTCAGACGATTTCAAAGCACAGATCTAGCTGCTAGATATAAAGGCGTATCCATCAGTACCACCATTACTGCACTACGAGACCGAAGACTGTCCGTTCCAACCCTGGTGACCAGTTCTTCCAGCGCAGACTAATCCAACCTCTTGTGCTAACGTCATTATTCGCGCCCTGGACGTCAACAGCCACAAGCTAATATCTCAGTATGCACCATCAGTAACAACATTTCTACCAGAGAACGTGAACCATGTCGGATCGAGAATCCTAGTCCGCCCGGCTATTCATGGTTTTGTTCTTAAACCAATCAACTTATCCTAGCTTTTCGGTGGATGTTTTGGGTGCCGCAATGTGCTTTTAAGACGCCGATAAATGATACAATTGCGGTGAACTACCAAACGTGAAGCTTAGCTGTCAATAACCTCGAGCTTTTTTATGTAGCCATATTTAACTTCTTTCGCTTTCAAGCATCGACAAAGTGGAGGTGTGACAATACGGTCTGTTCCGCTATACTTGTGTGACTGTCTTCCCTCACTACACCAGTCTGGCTCAAATTATTGCGTATGAGCCAAACGTGGCATCCCAAAACAAACGGTAAACCTATATAAGCTTGATTGAAGATTGACGTTAAAATACCGGGGACAAGGGCAATGTGCTTTTAACGGGAATGGTGGATAAGCGATTACTTCCTACCTGTACGAGCGCTTCCCGAAGTTTCAGACTCAATCTACATACATGGAGACCAATGAACACGTTGATATGTAACGTAAGGCACGATTAGACAACGTCACCATCATCATCATTGTCGGATGTAATAACCGCGTACTCGTCGTACAGTGGTTGCAGCTGCTGCAGTTTCGTTCAGCGGTGATTTGGGGGGGGGAGTAGCTGTGCATTGCAGGCGCGAGCTAGTAAACTGGTGCGTAAATCCAGCATTGTCAGTGGGCTGTCAAGTGCTGGGTTGTTGAAAAAGGAGCTATGCATTGAAGGTAATAACTATGATGCACGAGCGCCATTGAGGACGCGACTGATCCATGTCTGACAATGTCTCCAGCCATTGATGTGGCCCGTCTCGGGGTCCCCATCCAGGAAGACGGCAATTACCAGCGCAGCCGAGTTTGCTAGTGATGGCTTTCACACTTCGCTGCCAAGTCAATGTTTGACCGCCTCTGGCCCTCTTCCACCCTTCATGTGGTTGTGCAACAAGTGCCCTTTGAGGAAGTCGGTCTACCGGCAAACGCAGCACGTGGCCAAGCGAGCACAACCTGTGCAATGTGATCAGTTCTCCGAATACCATTTGACGTACTTCAGCATTGCTAATCCGGTGTTCTTACCAGATTTGTGCAATGCTTTTAAGACATCGATGGTCAAACACTGGAAGTCTTTGACGTCCTCGGCGCGAAGCGGCCAGGTTTCTGACCCTTATAGTAATATGGAGCGCATCGCAGCATTGTAAACTCGACACTTGACAGAGAACCTGATGTCACGCCTACACCACAGATGACGTAGGCTCGCAAATGCTGCTCTGGCCTTCTCAATCCGGATGTATATATCATCTTTCGCCAGACCAACGGGATTGACAACGTAGTCGTCTGTCGAAGAAACGTATTGTTCGATCGCATTACCTGGTAGCGACCTCGACGTGACAAGACCAAGGTACATTTCGTGCCGCATCCCTCGCATGTACAGGCCACCAGGTGAGGGGATAGAATATAGCCAGCATTTTTTCGACAACCACAATGTCCGAAATCCTGTCAGGGATGTATTTGGCGATTCAATATCGGTGCACATCAATTGACGTTCCAGACTGACATCGACCGAAGTTACCATTTTTTCAACTTAATCAGTCAATCATCAGCTGAGGTAGTAGTCATGGTCCTTGTAGGGAATGTCTTAAACTTTGCAGCCTTCGATGTTAAACACCGAAGTGGTCACCCTGAGTGAAGCACTACGAAACATGGACATTGCTGTTGATGGACAGAGATGGCACGCTGCAACCTCAAGGGTTCGTGTGATGACGAGGGCGACTCTGCAAGTCACTAGAACTAACGCAAGTCCAGTTAGGGCTGTTAAATAGTGATTGATTCGCTAGCATCCATCACCATGCTGTCACACTTTTACCCCGGGATTATTCCTGAAGCTGGTGAACAAAACCCAGCAATAAGAACAAACGTCTCTGGATCACTAACTCGGGCGGCACAGCAGCCCTCAAGGACGGGCATAACGAGTTTAACGAAGGGAACTTAAATGTCAACAATCAAGGTAGTGTCAGCTACTAAGGCAAAGCTCCAAACCTCCAAATGCTTTTAGACTTGGGCGGCCAATTAAGGCGCAGGAAAACAGACCGATAAACTACAAGGTGTATTGTAAAAGCATTGTTAAGAATGACATCAAACGTGCAAACACGGCGCGACTGCGGAGACGACACCGGAAAGGGGATGAAACCTAAGTGACGACGCGCTGGACAGAGGCTGCTAACGGAAACGTTCGGTACGTAATTGTTCGGGTATTAAATGCAAACGTTTGTTATTTCGCAATCGGCTGGTGCCGCTGTGCCTTGAGAAGTCACGTATGATCGATAGTATCGGCATCTCATCCGACTAAACAGACGAGTTGCGCGGTCCACTGATTACAGAACGAACTGAAATCAATCTTTAATACCAGTTTGCGAATATGCATCAGTTCTTTATCTAAAAAACGTGGAAGCGCATACTAGGCGACGGAAACAACCGTAAGAGGCTACCTGGAGTCAGCGCAAATGCGAGGTCGTAATTCTGGCGGCCCAACTTGCACTCCTACGGGGTTTCGGTACGGCATACACTTGCAACAATGAAAACTAAGTGATCACGTCTCAATGAATTCCATTCGAAAGAGTTGAGAAGAGCCGTTGTTAATTCGAGACTACTGAACTTATTTCAGGCGAACACTCGTAATAAAAATTAACGTCGTGACAATATGGGCTTCGCAGAGGACACGGAAAACAGACTCACCAGTGTTTATGGACTGCCATAAGCGTACCTGAAGCGTCCAGTTGTGTAAAGAACATAGGAGACCTACCGTGGTGGGGCAGGCGACCGGTTATCTGCACCATAATCATGGTGACCATAATCGTACCCTCCGTCATACCCTCCAGTGGTAGGGGTCCTATCGCCTTCCCTGCAATCACTACGAGGCTTACGGAAAACCGAACATCTTACACATACCACCCACCACCACTGTAGTTGCCGTAGTTGTCATAGTATTCGCTGAACCTGGGTGCAGGTGCAGCAACTGGTTCACGATAGTCATCATACTCACCGTAGTTTTCGTACTTATGGTACCTAAGACGGCCGATGCAAACGATCTTCGAGGTTACCTTTGGCGAGGGGGAGGAGCACCCTTTGGTGGATATTCGCGGGGTGGAGGGACGAGATCCGGCATGGGGGATCCACGATAACCTGCTGCAGGCGGTGGAAGGGGCAAAGGCTCTCGCCCAGGTGCCCGCGGTGGGCTCACGGGTTCTAGACGATCAGGCGGTGGCTGTCCCATTTGATGGGCATTTGTGTCCTGGTCCGCCTGAAAATAAGCCAACAACCACAACACAACCTTACCTCTGGGACCACGGTACGGTGGCGGTGGTCCGTAGGGGCCTCCGTAGCCATCGTAACAGGCAGGCCCATAACTTCCCATACGAGGTAGCGGGCCAGCGCCCATATATCTAGGGGGTGGGCCACGGGGGCGATAACGGGATCGTCGCGATATCGCCCCACACGCCTCCTCATCAGACAAGATCCACCTCGCTTGCCGTGACTACGTTCCACATTTATCTTCGCCCCATCCAAAATGCTGTCTTGCAAACCAGCGAGCGCACCTTCTGCATCTTAACCCTTCTCCATATGTAAAAACGTTGGAAAATCACGAAACCCACATAACACGAGGCCATAATTGTTGACCACATCACATTCAGTGACCTTACCGTAAACTTCAAACTGCTTCCACAGGTCAGCTCACTTTGTCTCAGGGTTTAAATTACCGACGAACACCTTCACCATCGCGACGGAGGGAACCGAAAGTGAATTCACTAACGTACCCGCCAAATTGTTCAAAACAACCTTCGAAAATCTTACGCGCCCCTGTTTTACCTCTGTATGACGGTCTCTATCAAGCTCACGGAATGGGCTATTTTACCGACGACACCATCCCGATCACTTTATTATTAACAGCATTCAAAAGCGCTTGATTTGAATTTCGCGGAGATGCCGGCCCTTCCCAGGAGTGTGCACTTTTATCCACGTATGTTGTTTCAAGGGAAGACTTTCGTGAATAATGGTATTATGCTGAAGCCCGAAATCACTGTTTTTTAGACTTTTTTGTAATTTGTTCGAATAAGCCCCTAACCTTAACTTTCGGTGTGGATTCACTTTTTCTATTGCACTGTAATGACTCGAGAAATTGTCAGTCCGTCTTTAAGTGTTTGTATACAAATTGGCGGATGTCTTGATTTCATCCTTCAGAACATTTGAGAAGACGTTAAATGAATACAATGCTGTTTTTCTTTTCAGGTCTGGCAGCGGACGACNTCCAAATGGATGTAGACACTGCAAGCAGTGGTCGTTGGACTGGCACCTTCCTCTAAACGACGGAAAGTGCGTCCATATGTAGTTTGGAGGAGACTCAGTGAATGCCTCTGTTATGCATGATGAGGGTGGATACCAAAAAGGATTTGGGCACTTGGGTTTCCTCAAACTTGACTTGTCCTCTGCACCGTAAGAAATCGACCCACAAAGCGTTCGCCATTTTGCGGATTATCCGACGCACCTTCTCCCGTAATACTTGCACTGCACCGTAGAAATCGACCCACAAAGCGTTCGCCATTTTGTGGATTATCCGACGCACCTTCTCCCGTAATACTTGCACGGATATCCAAATACTCTATGGGGCCTACGTCAGACCGCTCCTGGAGTACACCAACCAAGTTGTCTACTCAGGACGTA